AGACACCTAAGCATTCATAGTGTACATATATCATCTCATCATTTTCCTACGATATCATGATACAGGCAGCAATATTACATTGCCATATGCACATATGACATTATTCAATGGAATGAAAAATAATTATAATCACTTAGAAATTGCCTTACTGCAAGGCGTTGTCATTCCAGTAATGAAATGAAGTCAGAAAATCTCCAATAATTTCTTGAACGAGATATGACAACACATTCATTGGATCATGTCACAAATTGTGAAATACATTACTCCCCTATATATGCAAGCATCAGACGTGGACACATCACGTAATGTGAGGTCACGTTTCTGGTAAATGGCAGCACTTTTATTTCTTCAATGAATACAAATGTATTTTCATTCATGTTATTACATCAACAGGTCGTGCAGCAGCAGTTATTGAGAAAGTACGTGCGTATTGAGCGAATTAACTTGATGGCTGGCATACCAGTGGAGGGATGAATATCGTTTTACAACACCTTCTATAACTGGACGTGATGTTCAAAGTCCATCCGTTTAAAATCATCCGCAGTGCTAGCCGACGACTGCAAGGCCATACACAAGAGGCAGTGGAATAGCACGGATAGTCACAGAATTTATGGGGTTTTTTTAACTCCCTGCAGCATGAACCATACAAATGCATTTTTATTTTCGATATCGTGGCATAACAGCGCAACAGTTCCTGGGGACGATCTTTTCTCCATTTCCTCTCTCTCCTATATTATCGAATAAGCGGCGAGTGCCACGCTTTACCGATAAAAAGCGCTTACACATGTGTAACTTTCAAAAAGGCGGGGGGGGGGGGGGGAGAAATCAGTGACAAAAGCTACAGACAGCTTAACTTCCAAGAATTTCCAGTTTGCCTGGAAAAGAGAGGGAAAAAAAAGAATCACTCGCCATATGGAAGTGAATAACCATTTAATTGGTGACACGGATGGAAAGTTATACAGTGTTGTGCATTTGCATGTCCCACGTTCAATTTTCGAGGCAATTTCAAATGGGGGGAGAGAGATGTGGGGGAATGTTGCATGGAAAAGTCGACGAAAAAATAAATGACGCGGTCATCATTATGCACAGTACAACACCACCCCCCCTTTGCAGTTGCTGTGTGTGTGTGTGGTCAGGACCAAAGGAACTCAGTTTGTTAACATCTGAAGTTTGAACGAAAATAAAGAGGAAGCACACACGAGATGTGCACGCACGAGTTGCTGCCGGACAGACGATCGTGCACTCAACAACGATCTGGGCATAATTCGGAAGGCTTTTGAGTCACGAAAGAGCATTATGTAATACCTTTCCAACCCCCCCCAACCGTTCCCAACGTTGACTGTCGTGACATATCCAACATCTACCTAATAACGGAAGCGTGCAAACCACTGTACCGCTCATCAATAAAATAACTTAACAAGAACAAAAAGGCTGCAACGGATGCACGTACGTGAACGCATCCTTAGCAAAGGTTCGCGTCGATAATAATTAGAAAAATATATATATTCTTTGATCAAATAAATCCTATTCGAGAGCCACATTTCACCACGTTGCCTTTCATGTATATAAACATTTGCCGCAATACATAGCCGTGCCCATCAGTTATTGAATGGCAGCTCGTTACAAACACATTATGCAATTAATAGGATAAATTAATTAAATAATCTGGAACTCGTATCAAGGTGCATAACAAACCCAGGTATACTTTGTATTTTCCTCTCAATGCATACATTTTTTAAAGTTCAGTGACCATTGAGAACAAAAGTTAGGCTATAAATTGCTCCTTTTCCCCTTATACATCCATTCAGTTTGAATTATGTAATGATTATGTAAATAAGTGTTGACGGTTAGAATAACTGGTTGCGGAGCTGAAATCAATGCGATGTGGTTTACAAATGTCAAAATCACACGTCACTGAATGTCCACAATCGACTTCCTCCTCCTCCTCCCTGTGCTTCTCTGCTTTTGGGGCAGCCTGAATTTGAACAACTTTACACACACACAGGTAAGTGCGTGTCACTAAAGGTGTGCACACCGGTGGGCTAAAGAAGTGAATTATTTTGTCCTTGGAAAAACGTGACACATTTTTTACTGTTTGGCCGTGTCGGGTGGTGGAGGGTTACGACACATTTATAAAAAACGCGATCTGACCCAAAAACCTATATTATGAATAATATTGGTCGCGAAAGCCTGCTACGTGTTAAATTAAGCTAAGAAGTGCCTTCACACTGGCGCGTCTGTCAATGTCCACGATGCCACGTGGTGGTGACGTGTCCCATCCCGCCACCGTGTCCCAATTAAACAAGAATGTACAGTGCCCAGATATAACCTTACCCCCCAAGACCCAAAGACCATTATTATAAAGCCAGGGACATTTAATACCATACTCATTGACAAGCTTATGAGTGGAAGCGCAAATGTTTTAAGTTTACAACCCAATAGGGCGAGGACATCGACAGCTGTATCCACATTCACAAGACGGACTTGCAGTGCCATTCATTGTTCGAAGTTGCAATTCATTACAACCTAAACCACTGCTATACACAGTACAGCAAACCGAGCCATTCGTCATCTTGAAGACTGTTTCCTACACCTCGTCATGTACCACAACGTGCAATGTATAATTTGGCTGTACATTTTGCAGCTTAAAATTGTGTAAAGTGTATTTGATTGACCTCGCATAGGGACATATACTGTATGTGTGTGCTCTGTATACATTTCAGGAAGTTGCTTCTATACAAGATGCAGAGGTCTCAGCTCCACAATAACTCAATCCACGTTGCATTTAGCAGATCCGTACCGTTCAAACGCAGTGTGTGTCAATCACCTTTTTTTTGCCCATTTTAAGAGTTCCAATTTCTAAAAGCAATCTAGATTTCTAAAAGCAGCTTATGCATCCAAGGGTCTACTGTTGAAGCCTTCCAAATATGATAGACCTGACAATAGTGAACCACGCTCCCGTCACATTGTGACAAGTGCTCTAAATTGAGTGCGACTGGTGGAATTGTGAATAACAAAAATATTTTAAACAATATTTACTCGGCGTTAGAGTCGTGTAAACCACAGTATTCAGCGATGAGGATAAAAAAAACATTCAAAGTGTGTCATGATACAATTATTAAGAACCTTGTGAACTAAACAAAATAACTTATGGCCTTATGATTTAGCACTACAGCTACACACACCACATTCTGTTCCTTATCCACAAACCGAGTCGCACAATCTCTGCACTCTCGTCCCCCCCACCAATCTAACAAGCAAGCACGGGCCAATGTTAACACTGCCACACTAAACGGTGCTCAGAGTCACCCTTCACAATTCCCCGAAGCTAGAATAGATTTGTTGTTGTTACATTTGTGAATAAGATGTTGAGAACGCCGAATCTTGGACACAGCAGGGCCAAACGTGGGGCGAGTCCTCTACTACAACGATGACGCATAATCGTTGTATTTTTTTGGGTGAGATCGCGGTTAATATGAATGTTGTGTCGTTAAACCCTCCGCCACCCGACACTGCCAATCGGTAAGGGGTTTGTCAGGAACAAAACGTGCCAATTCGTTACTAGTACAGCACTAACGGGTAGTGTGTTGAGAGAGTAAACCCACTACAACATTTCAATTCGGGTAACAACAACACAACCGGTTTAGTGCTTTGTTCTCTACGCGACCGTGACATCGGTGGTTTACCCCCCACTCCACACACACACCACACCCCACACACACACACCACACACACCACACACACACACCACACACACACACCACACACCCACACCACCCACACACACCCACCACACCACACAACACACCACACACTACCCACCACACACCCACACCACACACACCACACACACACCCCACTCCACACACACCACACACACACCCCACTCCACACACACACCACACACCACACACACCACACACCACACATACCCACACCACACACACCCACACACACCGACACACCCACAACACACACACCCACACCACACACACTCACACACACCCACACCACACACACACCTACACACACCACACCACACACACCACACGAACGAATTGTCACGTGTTGTTTACGTGGACAATTAACTAATTGGCCGTGTCGGGTGGTGACGGGTTTAACGACACAAACAAACCCCCTCTACTGCGCGTTGAACTAACAACAAGCTATGGCTTGAGCTGTCAGCTAAAGTTTTAACTCAACCCACTGTCAGCAACAATTGTTACGTTTCTACAACAAACGAATTTGTTGTTTTTCACATTTCCGGGTTGGGCTCAGTTGTGCAAGATTGTGTCACCGTTCAAAAATTACCAAAAAATAAATATCAATACCTGTCAACCTCCCCCCCTCCCCCTTATCAGTGTCCTAACTTATTACTGCTGACCATTAACACAGGCTTTAGTGGTCACCCCCCGTGCCCTTATCAATCTCAACGTTCATCCCACAAAGTCCCATCACAACAAGGCAGAAACACAAACAAATAGAAACATTTCTCGTTGTTGTTGCCCTAGTGAAACGGCTGCACGCCGTATGGAACTGATAACTAAATTTCCCTGTACACGAATACGGAGTATCAACAACAAAATATACACTTTGTCATCCGATACGTTGAGTAATAAACTGCTGATATAAAAACACCGTGGGACCTGTTCTTAATGGGAATAGCATTTAAATAGCAACGCCACGGGGTTGGGGAATACACAACGAGTGGACAAAACACGTGCATCTTGCACCGAACATTCAAACTTTTTAAAAATGTTTACAACTTTACCAGCCGATGTGTAACCCGCATCGATGAAAAAAAAACCAAACACGAATTGCAACTCGTGCAGTGAACAAGTTGACATTAAATTGCATCGGAAGGCGACGACATTTCCTGTCGATATTTATACATTCTGCGTGTGTTTGTGTGTTTCGACTGCTCCTGCTGCTGCTGCTGCTGCTGTTGTTGTTGTTGTTGACGTCGTTCTACAAAGTAAACAAGAGACGAGACACACACACGGGGGGGAGAGCTTGCTCCTTGCTCACCGTTGCTTCCTGGCCACGGAGTAGTCCACGTCAAGCGCCTTCCCGTGGAGTTCCACTTTCCCTGCGGAGAAGGAAGAAGAGACCAAGAGTCAAGCAAAACCCCCCAACACCATCACCACCACCAACATCACCATCACCACCATCACCACCACCACCAACAACAACAACAACACCATCACCACCACCATCACCACAACCACCAACACCACCAACACCACCACCATCACCACCATCACCACTACCATCACCACCACCATCACCACCACCACCATCACCACCACCACTACCAACAACACCATCACCACCACCGCCATCACAACAACAAAGACAAAGATCCCCCGTGTAGCCATTAACAGGAGGATGTGGCAAGTGCTGTTAGTGAGTCACAGCAGCACTATAGCACACGTGGGGGTGGGTGGCCAGCACCACGCCCGGCCGCCTTTGTCTCCCCAGTGGCGATGTTTACTGCACACCGCTACGCCAGGTGCTCGTTTGAGGCTGAGTCGACCTAAGGGGAAGGGGCCCAGGACCGATTCGTCGTCACCAGCGGCGTTGGTGGTGGGGCACACACACACGTAGACACACACAAACACACAGTCAAACACATACCCACAGAGACACACACAAACACACACACACACAGTCACACACACGTAGAGACACACACAAACACACACACACAGTCACACACACGTAGAGACACACACACACGTAGAGACACACACACACACAGTCACACACACGTAGAGACACACACACACAGTCACACACACACAGTCACACACACACAAGCACAGTCACACACACACGTAGAGACACAAACACACACACAGTCACACACACGTAGAGACGCACACAAACACACACACACAGTCACACACACACACGTAGACACACACACAAACACACACACACAGTCACACACACACACACGTAGAGACACACACAAACACACACACACAGTCACACACACACACACGTAGAGACACACAAACACACACACACAGTCACACACACACACGTAGAGACACACACAAACACACACACAGTCACACACACACGAGGTCGGGTAGTCAACAACCAACCCCGGCCGCCTTTGTCTCTCCCCCACCCCCCTCCCGACACACTGACACCGCATCCACTTGAGGCCGAGTCGACCTAGGGGAGGGCCAGGATAATCGTCGTCGTTGGTCGTGGTGGTGGTGGTGGTGATTGTGGTGGTGGTTGTTGGTTGATGATTGTGGTCGTGATTGTGGTGTTAGTTGATGGTGGGGTTGGTTGTGGTGGTCGTGGTGGTGTTGGTTGGTGATTGTGGTGGTGGTGGTGTTGGTTGATGGTGATTGTGGTGGTGTTGGTTGATGGTGATTGTGGTGGTGTTGGTTGATGGTGATTGTGGTGGTGTTGGTTGATGGTGATTGTGGTGGTGGTGGTGGTGTTGGTTGATGGTGATTGTGGTGGTGTTGGTTGATGGTGATTGTGGTGGTGGTGGTGGTGTTGGTTGATGGTGATTGTGGTGGTGTTGGTTGATGGTGATTGTGGTGGTGGTGGTGGTGTTGGTTGATGGTGATTGTGGTGGTGTTGGTTGATGGTGATTGTGGTGGTGGTGTTGGTTGATGGTGATTGTGGTGGTGTTGGTTGATGGTGATTGTGGTGGTGGTGTTGGTTGATGGTGATTGTGGTGGTGTTGGTTGATGGTGATTGTGGTGGTGGTGGTGTTGGTTGATGGTGATTGTGGTGGTGTTGGTTGATGGTGATTGTGGTGGTGGTGGTGTTGGTTGATGGTGATTGTGGTGGTGTTGGTTGATGGTGATTGTGGTGGTGGTGGTGGTGTTGGTTGATGGTGATTGTGGTGGTGTTGGTTGATGGTGATTGTGGTGGTGGTGTTGGTTGATGGTGATTGTGGTGGTGTTGGTTGATGGTCGTGATGCACGGGCATCGATCTCGGGGAGTCTAAAGCGTGGCGCTTTGTTCTCCACGCGACCGTGACACCGGTGGTTTACACCCCACACCACACACACACCACACACACACACCACACACACACCACACACACACCACACACACACCACACACACACCACACACACACACCACACACACACCACACCACACACTACCATACACACACACATCCCACACACATTCACACACCACACACACACTCACACACCACACACACCACACACACCACACACACACTCATACACACACCACACACACACCACACACACCACACACCCACTCATACACACACCACACACACACCATACACACCCACACCACCATACACACCCACACCACCACACACACACTCATACACACACACCACACACACACAGCACACACACAGCACACACACCACACACACACAGCACACACAACACACACCACACCACACACACCGCACACACCACACACACCGCACACACCACACACACACCACCACAAACACACTCATACACACACCATACACACACCACACACACCACACACACCACCACACACGCACCACACACACACTCATACACACACACACACCACACACACACCACACACACCACACACACACACACCACACCACACACCACCACACACACTCATACACACACCACACACACACCATACACACCCCACACACACCACCACACACACACCACACACCACTCATACACACACCACACACCACATCACACCCACACACACCACACACACAGCACACACACCACACACACACCACACACTACACCACACACACACACACCACACACACACCACACACACACACCACACACACACCACACACACACCACACCACACACTACCATACACACACACATCCCACACACACACACACTCACACACCACACACACACTCACACACCACACACACACTCACACACCACACACACACTCATACACACACCACACACACACCACACACACACCACACACACACCACACACACACTCATACACACACCACACACACACCATACACACCCACACCACCATACACCCCAACACCACCACACACACACTCATACACACACACCACACACCACACACACACACCACACACACAGCACACACCACACACACCACACCACACACACCGCACACACCACACACACACCACCACACACACACCACCACACACGCACCACAAACACACTCATACACACCACACACACACACTCATACACACACCACACACACCACACACACCACCACACACGCACCACACACACTCCACACACACACTCATACACACACACACACACCCCACACACACACACACACCGCACACACCACACACACACCACACACACCATACACACCACACACACCCATCACCACACACACACACCACCACACACACACACACACCCCACACACACACACACCCCACACACACACACACACCCCACACACCCACACACCCCACACATCCACACACACACACCCCACACACACACACACACCGCACACACCACACACACTCCACACACACCACACACACCCCACACACCGCACACACCACACACACCCATCACCACACACACACATCACACACACCACACCCCACACCACACACACCACACACACACACCCCACATCACACACACACACCACACTTGCACCCGTCCCTCAGCTATAAGATCCACAACACACAACGTGGTGACGATCGTGGTTGATGGTGGTGGTGGTGGTCGTGGTCGTGGTGGTCGTGGTGATGGTGGTCGTGGTGGTGGTGGTAGTGGTGGTGATGGCGGTGACCACCCTCAACAACAATCACGACTTTAAACGAGAAACCCGTAAACGTAACCAAAGTTAAACGCAGAACAAAGGCAGACACGGTACAACTTTCTCGCTTTGTTATAAAGAACTTACAGTACACACACACGCACCACATGCACTGCGGTGCAGCGAGTGGGGATAGAGAATTACACTCTAGCGGAGAAGAATTGCGGCAACTACGAACACTACTGCTATTGTTATTATAATAGTAGTAGTGTGATAGTGACGACAATAACAATGTTTGGTCTGTTGCCCTTCCCCCGCATCTCCGACTAGCGCGGTTGGCTAGGTACGGTGCGAAAGAAGTTCAATATACAGGACATACAATAGACGTGAAGATGGTGGTGGTGGAGATGGTGGTGGTGGTGGAGGTGGTGATGGTGGAGATGGTGATGGTGGTGATGGTGGAGATGGTGGTGGTGGTGGTGATGGTGGAGATGTTGATGGTGGAGATGGTGGTGGTGAAGGTAGTGGTGGTTGTGATGTTGGTGGTGAAGGTAGTGGTGGTGATGGTGGTGGCGATGGTGGTGGTGAAGGTAGTGGTGGCGATGGTGGTGGTGAAGGTAGTGGTGGTGATGGTGAAGGTAGTGGTGGTGGTGGTGATGTTGGTGGTGAAGGTAGTGGTGGTGGTGAATGTAGTGGGGGTGATGGTGATGGTAGTGGTGGCGATGGTGGTGATGGTGAATGTAGTGGTGGCGATGGTGGTGATGTTGGTGGTGAAGGTAGTGGTGGTGGTGAAGGTAGTGGTGGCGATGGTGGTGGTGAAGGTAGTGGGGGTGATGGTGGTGGTGAAGGTAGTGGTGGCGATGGTGGTGATGGTGGTGATGATGGTAGTGGTGGTGATGGTGGTGGTGAAGGTAGTGGTGGCGATGGTGGTGGTGAAAATAGTGGTGGTGAAGGTAGTGGTGGCGTTGGTGGTGATGAAGGTAGTGGTGGTGATGATGAAGGTGGTGATGGTGGCGTGATGGTGGCTTGATGGGGGGGGGGGGGTGTCTGACACGAGGACAGGGGTAGTCAGTCACGACCATGCCCCACCACAACCACCACCACAACCAACCACCACAACCCGTGTCTCTCTCACGTCAAACCACCACCACCGACGTCGTCTCGTGGTCAGCGAGGATGGAGGAGGACCCCGAGAGCTGTGGGTGGTTCCGGGGTCAGAGGTTGGCGTCAGCCCCCCCCCCCAACAACATTGGTGACAAAGCCACGGTCCGACTCCAGAAAGACAGGGCCCCCCCAACAACATTGGTGACAAAGCCACG